GAAGAGCGCGTATTCGGATTCAGATTCTCCGACCCAAGAAATAGTCTTGGTGAGATCTATGGAACACATTTTCTTCCATATCTTGTTAGAATCGAATGACCATATGACTTGCGTAGGCCAAATTTTTTTGGATATGCACAAGCGGTTATCAAGAATGCACATGATGACATTGTAAGGGTCACAAACAGGAGCAACGAGAGCTTTAGAGAAGAGTTGAAAAGTTTCCTTGTGAAGATCAAAAGATAACACTTTGTTTTCTTGACACTCGGTTAACCAATAAAGCAATCCATCTAAATACACGGGCTTCTGGTAAGCAAGGATCCGATAAGGAGAAGTAGGGAGAACGTACCTCCAAACATTGGTCCTAATTGTCATGTCTTTTCAACATCTCTAATTGATCAACAGACAATGGGAGCTCTAAATATATATGTATATACACACAACTCGAACTACCAATCAGAAAAAAAGAAGCAAAACGCAATATTCAATTTTCATAATCTTATATTAGAGGATTGTTTATAAAAATTATATATTAATATTAACCTTCCTGAAAATGGGGCACTTTGAATTTCAAAAATGATTACTGCTAAAATATATTTTTTTTACAACTAATAAATCACATTTTCTACATACACTCTTCTACGATATTCGGTAATGAATGTAAAAACTACCGCAAATCTTCGTTGGGACATGTCAATCGAGAGAAAAATGTTTCAGTGAATGCTCTTAATCAAGAACATTCTCATATAAAGTTCTCGTATCAGACTTTTAATATACCATCATTCAAGCCCGGCCTTTGCCACATTTATGATACATGTGTATGGGGTCTCAAAATATAGAGCCCCTTTTTAAAAATGTTTTTTTGTAATACTTAATAAGGGCAACAAGAGAATTAGTTAGAAGCAGACTTGTTAGAGGTCCCGATTTTTTAGTTCGTATTTGCCCAAGAATATTACAAGATCGGGCTTTCCACCACTACAACTGGCTAAATACTTGTTTGAAGATGTTTAAAAAAAAAAACACATTAATTTTCTAGATACAGTTAAATTTTAAAAGTAAACTTTATTTAAACATCATTTTTAATTTATTAATTTAGCTTTTCTTTTTACCTCCACTCAGTCCATATACTGGTTTCAAAATCCAACAAAAAACCACTATGTTTTATCCGTCCAATTCTGCCCAAATTCAATTAATCTATCCAAAACCGTTATCTAGCTGTCTTGGGTAAACTGAGAAAAATTATTATTCCCATAAATATCTTGGACCCAAAATCATAATAGGACTAAATCCAAAATTAATTTTTAGTTACATGCATGTTCATTGTTCACTTTCAAATTTGACCAGGTATGAATTATTTATGAGTTAGCTATCTATCAGATTTATGTCTTTATATAAGCCACCTCATAAACACAAAAAAAGAACCAGATAGGAAACAAATCTACAAAGAATCATGATTTTTCTGTCGACAGGTCATTAACATAATTGGTAATTAAAATTATATTTTTTCTTTATTTATTTCTTAAATTGGCCAAATAATCTTTTGTTTATAAATGGAAAAGGTAGCCAACAATTCTGTCAAATTAGTTTCTTTGAGGTTGTCTTTCTCAATATTGTTTCTTTTCAAATACCTCTCTCTCTTTTTTCTTCTTCTTTTCGTTCTGTTATAACCTATTAAACTCTACATAAAACAGCAAAACCTTAAACTGTTTCTGGTTTTTATAGGACTGTTGGGTAATTTCTATGTTCTTTGTATAAAACCTATCAAAAGTTTTGAGAGATATTTTCCTATATATTATTTGTTAGTAGGAGAGGTTTCAGACGAAGAACAAGAAAATCTTCAGAAAATGAGTTGTTTCTCGTGCTTCTCTTCAAAAGTTCTGGACAATGAAGGTTCTTCGATGCCTGTTCCTTATAAGCAACCAAACTCACCTAGTAAGCACTCCTCAATATTCTTGGAAATGTGCACGTTTGTAATTATTTGTCTAAATCTTTTGATTTTCTTTTGAGAATTCTTTAAAGAAAATTATGTTATCTATCTTTCATACAGAGAGAACAACAGGAGAAGTGGTGGCTAAGAATGCAAACGGGCCATCAAACAACATGGGGGCACGGATTTTCTCGTTCCGTGAGTTAGCCACCGCGACAAGGAATTTTCGACAAGAGTGCCTCATTGGCGAAGGCGGGTTCGGGCGGGTTTACAAAGGAAAGCTCGAGAATCCGGCACAGGTAAAATCTAGAAACTTGTGGAACAATTAATATTTTCAATTAGTCTAAATTAGTAAATTTCGATCTAGCATTGACCGGTTATTAAAAAATAAAAAAAATGTTTTTGTCATACGATAGAAATAGTGTCAAACTCATTTTTTTTTTGTTTGGGGTTGTGATATATGATCAGGTCGTGGCAGTGAAACAACTTGATAGGAATGGATTACAAGGACAAAGAGAGTTCTTGGTCGAGGTTTTGATGCTTAGTCTTCTTCATCATACAAATCTTGTGAATCTTATCGGGTATTGCGCCGATGGAGACCAAAGACTTCTTGTTTACGAGTATATGCCTCTTGGATCTCTAGAAGATCATCTCCTCGGTAAATCATCATTTTTCAATCAACATTATCAATTTTTAAAAAAACTAACCAAAAAAATATAACTAGAACCGGTTTGATGTTTAAATTAAACCAGATCTTGAGCCGGGACAAAAACCACTAGACTGGAACACTCGTATTAAGATCGCTATAGGAGCGGCAAAAGGAATTGAGTATCTCCATGATGAGGCCGATCCTCCAGTGATTTACCGAGATCTTAAATCGTCAAATATATTGCTTGACCCAAAATACGTTGCAAAATTATCGGATTTCGGTTTAGCAAAGCTTGGTCCTGTTGGAGACACACTACATGTGTCTTCCCGAGTTATGGGAACTTATGGTTATTGTGCTCCTGAATATCAGAGAACCGGCTATCTTACAAATAAATCTGATGTCTATAGCTTTGGAGTTGTTTTGTTGGAACTTGTATCCGGAAGACGAGTTATCGACACAATGAGACCTAGTCATGAGCAAAATCTAGTCACTTGGGTGAGTATTTTATTAGCATATATGATTTTACTAACGGCTTATCAATGTGTACACTATTTAACAATCTACAACTTTGGTTTAGGCACAACCGATCTTTAGAGATCCGACTAGATATTGGCAGCTAGCTGATCCACTGCTTCGAGGTGACTACCCGGAAAAGAGTTTTAACCAAGCTATAGCTGTAGCGGCAATGTGCCTGCATGAAGAACCTACGGTTAGACCACTAATGAGCGACGTTATTACAGCCTTGAGCTTTCTTGGTGCATCCTCAAACTCCTCCAATACCGGCCCTAACCATTTGCAACAAAATCGATCCAAGAAAGATCAGGATGCAGTTCAGTGGGACTCAAGTCCTACTAGATAAGTTCAAATGTAGACATTTATATATTAAGATGACCCAACAACTCACAACTTATGTTTCTTCCATTTATTTTACTTTTGGGTTATAAATTCCTCCATTTAATTAATGAATTTGTTTAAAATTACATTTATGATTTGTTTAACGTCACTTTTTTTATTAATCAACGTATTTCATCTAAATCAATCTTAACATATCTCTTCTAAACTGCATAAATAAAAGAAAGATAGGCCAGCTTAGCCCAAGAGTACCACACATTCCATTCCATTTAGAATAGAGAGACAAACTCATTAGTGTTGTAATGATGGGCCGTAAACGCATTTCTGCCCACTTTGTTTGGGCCAGTCTTGGTCGTTCGAAAGCAACCCATGTTTTTAGTGAAATTGCACAGTGTAGACTTTGTAGTGGGAGATCATAGTTTGTGAAATGTTATGTAACTCTCAACATGCTTGGATTATTGTTGTAAATTATATTTTAATAAAATAATAAGTGGTAAAAGTTATAATTTACCTTGCTAAAAAAAAATATTCATGTGACAAAATAAATTATTTTGAAAAAAACTTTAAGAATATCATATGGTGAGACGGGTTAGATTGGTTAGTCTGAACTACACAGTATGATAGGGTTAATTTTTCAAAAAAACTCTAAATGTGTGTAATTTCAATACTAAATTAAATATATATTACGAGTTAAATCTAACAAATATTAAAATTTTTACATTATATAATCTAATATTAAATTATAAAACTAACATCACTATATGTAAATAAAATATTGTCATGCGGGTGATCATAATTTGTGATGTATAAACTATCCACGATCCACCTGAATTAAACACCCACCATAAGCAATTTTCAACGATAAAATCACAATTTCCAGTTTTTTAAAATATGTAAGAAAGGTCCGTCTCTATCTCTAAGTAAGATAGGTAAATGCCAAGGATCCAATATTAGTTTCAAAAAAATTTAAAAGAAAAAGGCCCAAAATATTTTTAAAAAAAATTACTAAGAGGTTTAATTTTTTTTAGTTTTTTTCATAAATCTCTTTATATATTGAGACGGTAGAAACATTAATAATGTATAATTATAAATCCCATATATGGCATGAAACAACATCTCTAATTCCCTAATATCTCTCAAGAATATAGTAATGCATGAAATAGAAAATTGGCAAATAAAATATGCATGAAAGAATTCTTTCTTTCAAGGTTTTGTTTTGCTTATAGTAGTAATCAGTGCCGGCTCAGAATATGGGGCGGGCGGTGCGACGGCCAGGGATCTAATCCCGTGTTCTAATAATTAAGGAGCCCATTTTTAAAATTTTTTTACAAAAGTATTAAAAAAATAGATTACAACATAAAAATAAAATTTATAAGGACCCAAAAAAAATTTTTTACTGTTTTTAAGTTTTAATAATTAAATTTTTATTAAAAATATCATAAAATGTTTTTTTATAACTCAAAAACACTAAAAAAAAAAAATTCTAAGAGCCCAAAATTTTTTTTGCCCTAGGGTCCATCAAAGTATTGAGCCGGCACTAGTAGTAATTATAAATTAATTTATAAAAGAAAGAAAAAAGGTACGGCGGTGGATATTGGCCCTTGCCGCAAAAGCAAAAGCTATCGCCGCCACCGTTTCATAAATCTCAGATCTCTCTTTCTCTCTCTCTCTTCTTTTGCGATAACAATGGCCCAACCTATGAACGATATTACGGTGAAGAACAATGAATCACACGAAGAAGAAATCCCCGATCAATTTCTCTGCTGCGTTTGCCTGTAAGCGTTTTTGAATCACACGAAGAAGCTCTTCTCTATCAATTTTCTCAGTGTTTTAGGTTAATTTTGGGGGAATTTGAATGATTTTTTTTTTCCGTATTTTGGAGGAATTAGAGTCGCTAATTCGAAAAATCTCATGATCCAATTTGTGTTCGTTGTCCTAAATCTCGTGTGTAATCATAATCGTATGGCTCAATTATATTTTTCAATTGAAGAATCTGTTCGTTTATCGTCGCATCGATTGTGTTGTTCAATGGATGACAAATATGTTTATACGACACTAATCATTTAGAAATTGATTTTTGTGGTTGCTTCTTGTGCAGGGAACTTCTTTACAAGCCAATTGTGTTATGTAAGTTGTTGACTAAGTCATAAGAGAATCTAACCTATTGCTTTCTCTTTGTTTTTTTGTTTAATGACTTTTCTTTTGTATGGCAATGAAGCTTGTGGTCATCTATCATGTTTTTGGTGTGTACATAAGTCCATGAATGGCTTTCGCGAGTCTCATTGTCCGATATGTAGAGACCCGTATGTTCACTTTCCGTCTGTGTGCCAGAAGCTTTATTTTCTACTGAAGAAGATGTACCCATTAGCGCATAAGAAGAGAGAAGAACAAGTTCTAAGTGAGTCCTTGCTTACATCTCCTGTGCAAGTGTCATTTTTTAGGTTGTCACTTTTTGTTGATTATAGATTTGTTAATATCATGTTTCAGAGGAAGAACAAGAACTAGATTGTTTTTCTCCTCAGATTGATGTTGTTTTGGAGGAAACAAAGGTTAAGGATGTGTCTGTATGTAGTGGAGATTCTCTAAATGTCTCTGGTGAGTGTTCCACACATTTTTCTGCTGAATTTAAACTTTTTCTCTCTAGTAAATTGCTTTCTGCTTACAATTTTACGTGTGTAGATAAACAGAAGGTGGATGAGTGTTCGAATGCAGCGAACTTATTATCTAGTTCATCAAGTAGAGGTGGCAGTCCATGTATCCCCAGCAATCAAGAACCCACTGATGCACAAACTCTTAATGTTCATGAGAATGAATTACCTAAGAATAACAAAGTCAGTAATCAGATTTCGAAAGATGATTTGCTCTGTTCAGCATGTAAGGAGCTACTTGTGCGACCCGTAGTTCTCAATTGCGGACATGGTATATTATCTTACATGTTTGTTTTTGATAAATATTTTGACTTTCACCTTCTTGAGAATTCGCTTTTATATTTTCCTATGTGGTAATTTCCTGTTTTATCTTTTTCCAGTCTATTGTGAAGGATGTGTAGTAGATATGGCTGAAGAAAGCGAAAAGATCAAATGTCTAGAGTGTAATGTTTGTGACCCTAGAGGATTTCCAAAAGTTTGTTTGATTCTTGAACAGCTTTTGGAGGAAAATTTTCCTGAAGAACACAAATCAAGGACAAGTGGGATTCAGAAAAGGCTTGCCCATAATAGCAAAGGAAGTAAGTCCTACTTTCATGCCTTGAACCATTTTGTAGTTATCAACACATGTCATGTCCTTGTGCTCTCAAAGCTTAGTTGTTGTTGTTACACAGAATATGTGAGACCCATTTGGACGCAGAGACTCATAGTTTGTACTCATTTTCTCTTGATATATAGATTTTCAAAGCCATCTAAAAGAAGGCCCATCGTTATCAAACGACAACAACGATGATCTTCCCTGGTTGGCAAACCCTGGATCAAATGTTCACTTTGAAGCTGGTTGTGATTCTTGTGGAGTAAGTGCATTATTATCTTAACCCGATTGTTAGTAGTGAAACCAAAATATGTGAATCGTAATTTGACATTGGTCCGGTTTGCTACAGGTGTATCCAATCATAGGGGATCGATACAGATGCAAAGACTGCAAGGAGGAAATTGGGTATGACCTTTGCAAAGACTGTTACGAGACTCCTTCAAAAGTTCCAGGGAGATTCAACCAGCAGCACACTCCTGACCACAGGCTTGAGCTCGCGAGGGCTCCTCAGGTTCTGATCAATTTCAATTCTATCGGTATCCTTCTCGGACCCTCGGATATCTCAACTGAAGCCATGGATACAGATGAGGGCGAGGAAGGGCCTCGGGGTTCTTCTAATGAGTCATCAAGCACAGAATGAAATAGCAGTCAAGTATTAATGCATATGCTTTCGCTTTGTTTTTGCGTTTGTTATTGTATTTATATCTTCTGATAAGTCTATGGTTTTAACATCTAAACAAAGTTTATTTGTTATTTGTGAGCGTAAGAAGGAAACAAAAAAAAATTACTTTATGTTTGCATTTTGGTGTTTGCGTATGTGTATTATTATTGATTATTGCAACAATATTCTACAAAGAACTGGAAATATTTTATGTTTCAAAAATGAACTTTTCTTTTATAATTTTGTATTGGTCATGTATGGTCTATACTACATTTGGGGTCTGGTCACTTGGTTTTGGTTTAGTGACTAATCTCTTTTCTTTTGTCATCGTCTTCCATCATGATCATGAAGGAAGACAGGATTGCTTACTCACGGAGCATCCTACTATTCTCGGTATGGAGTCAATTGTGGTTGTTAAGTCACCTCTTTTGTTTATATTACCTGTAAAATGTGGTTTATTTTGATTACTTCATTTGTACAAAACTATTAATTCTTAGTTTAAACTTTAAAGAAACCACTAAACACAAAGAAAAAAACAGGTAAAACGAAATTATCCATTTGAGTCAAGATCATTGAATACAATAGTTACAAATCAGGCAATTAGCCGAATTATCTGTTAGGAAAATTAAAATGGTAATATATATATATATATATATATAATCATTCAAATTGATCTAACATCTTTTTCAAAACAACCATTACCCAAAATATGGAAATGTGGAGTACCTATTTGAGTGGTAATTTTAATTTATTTGGATTATATAATACCCAATCATCTGCTACCCATATTATTCGACATTTTTACATATACACTTTGAATGATAATTTTGATATTTTAAATACGCCTATTCGATTCATTTCCATTATTATGGACTATTTATCCGAACTGAATAGGCTTAGGCTTAGCTTTTACCAAAAAAAAAAAAACTGAATAGGCTTAGCCATTTGATTTTTTGAAACAATTTGATTTTTTGAAACAATTGATGCATGTAAAAGCTTTGTTTCGTGTAGTTTATTTTTTAAAATATCATTATTTTGCTTGAAGGATTGCTAATAGAGTAACTGGATTCAAGGGACCCCATCAAGGTGAAAGATTCTCTCCTCTGAGTGCGTGTAAGGCAGCTACGATGTGATTGGTCGGAGTGTGGAACCCATTACTGCTCTTACGTCGGAAATCGCTTCTCGGGTTCTGTCTTTTTAAAGCACTTTATTATTATTAAAAAAAAAAGAAAAAAAAAAGTTTTTTCAGTACACGCGTGTTGTGATAACAGTTTTTTTTTTTTTTTTGGCGCCCTGAAAAAAAGGGCGGGAGGACGTGAAGAGTGTTATTGACTTATTGCAGAATGCCGATCCTTTAATTTTCTTGTTTTGCTTTTTGCCTTTTTCTCTGATTTTTGGGGATTCGGTAGCGTTCGAGATCTGAGCTGTTTCATGATTGCTGAGAGTCATTGCACGTGTGCCTTCCTTCGTTGTACGATTAAATTAGGACTTTTTTTTTTTTGTTGGTATCAACGATTAAATTTAGTTTACAGCGTTTTGAAATTTTTGTTCAGGTTTAAAAAAACTATTATGGTCTTTAAACTGCTAATTGTGTCTTCGTGTTTGGATGAACAAAGAAATATTATGGCCTTAAGAAGGAGTGAGTATTCGTCATGCATGCGATTAGAAGCATGTAAAATCATTATCTTATTTTATTTTGAAAAACGCATATAAAATCATGATTCTTGAGGATGACATACTTTGACATCTTCGATAACAAAAACAAACAAAAAATCATGAGAATTATCGCAAGCTTGTGAGGATTTTAAGGCAATTCATCTTCTTGCTCATAAGTCATAATGAATAAACCTCTCGATATTGGGAGTTTCTACTCAGTTAAAAGTTAAAACTGCTTAAAGTACTCACCTTGTTATTTCACGGGTTACATAAGAATATATATACATATATACTCTCTCTGTTCCTGAAAGAATGATGTTTTGGGTTTTCACACAATTTAAGAAAGAGTAAAATTTATATTTTTTATTATTTTTTTATTATTTTAATAATGTTAATTCTACTTCTCTCTTCTTTCTATTGGTCTCAAATGAAAGTAATAATAATGTTTTTACAAAATATCAATCTTTATGGAACAAGATAAAAAACCAAAACATCAAACTATGAGGAACGGAGGGAGTATGAGATAATGAATATATATATATACATGTATATCATCACGTTCACGGAACGGTAGAATTAAGTCGTATATTCTTGTTTCAAATAAATAAAAAGAATGAGACAGTGTTTGGCAAAGTAACTCCACAAAAAGAAAAAATGTAGAAAACCAAATTGACTTTTACATTACATTTCAGATACTATAAACTATAGCCTTTTGTAAAATAAAATGAATTTTTATATGTAGACGTGAGTAATTATAAACATGTAGGCAAAACAACTTTATTTGTTCGACAAATTTACCAACAAGTCAACTTTTTGAAGACTAACTTATCAAAGATAATCTCAAATATTACATCACAAAGATAACGGTTGTTGAGATGATTGCATAACTATATAACTAGAAGAAAAACCAGTGTAAGCATCCAATGCTAATAAATCCAAAGAAAATAAATACTTATGTAAGTGATCAACCCAATGATGTTAATTTTAAGACACTTGTTTACTTAAGAAAAAAAATTACAGTCAAATGTATCTGTATTGACTTGTATACAATTAATGTGTACGTTTTTGTCAAATGTGAAGAATTTAATAGATGGTTGACTCTTTTTTTCTTCCGAACCAAACCTGGCGAGCATCATGACATTTGAAAATCTGAATGTGTTTTTGGACTGTTTTGGATTGTTTGTACAAAGTTAACGTTGACTTGTCTACCAATAACCAAATTTTGATGACACAATGAAAATGGATGCAAAAAATGATCTGCCTTTTTATCATAAACCAAAACATATCTGACAAAAATAATTATAAAAGTTCCACACGAGAACAATGGCTTTATAAACATGGACGGTTGAGGGAAAAAAAAAAAAAAAACATGGACGGTCTACCAAAACAATTAATATTAGCTTGATGATCTTTATTCTTAAAGAACTTGTTACTTTCGGCACCATTTTATTATATTTGCTGCACCAACCACTCACATAATAGATGAGAGGTCGCCTTTAAAAATATATATATATATATATATATATATAATGTATAAAATAATTGGAATATATATTTCCAAAAATGTTCTCTTTAATTTTATGAGGACTATTATTTAATATTACTTTGGAGTAATTAAGAAATACTAATTACATAAAAATATAATTTGAGAAAAATAAATTAAATCTTTTTAAACTAGGGGAATATATATAGACCATTTTAGAAAAAAATAAAGTCTCTTAAAATTAATTTCACTCAAATCAAATCACTTTTAATATCTCTCATATGGTTCATAATTTTTTTTTTTTTTTTTTGTAAACTAGACTTTTACAGATATAATACAAAAATTGTTGACAAAAAAAAAGATATAATACAAAAATTACTACACACAATTCAATTTTGATTATATTATTTTGATACAATGATGACAATCAGGTGAGCAGAAAACCTTAAAAATCTGTCCTTTTTTTTTGTAGCGTTGGTCGAACCCACCACATTGTAACTAGTTAAGCTAGAATGGCCAACCACTGAAGCTTCAAATTTGTCTTTTTTTTTTTAATATTATTTTCTTTTCTTTCAATATTTGATTTTATTTTCTAAATAAATATTTCCATTGTCCTTTTTAGTTTCACTTTTTCAGATTAAAAATCACTTTCTTCTTCTTCTTCATTGTTTCCCTCTCCTTTTACTCTCGACCGGAGATTCAGTAAACCACCTTCCCGGAGATGGGAAAATACATTAAGAAGTCAAAAGTCGCCGGAGCCGTTTCCGTTAAGGATATCTCTCACCCAACCACTCTCCGTTTCCGTACCAGATCCCCCGCTGCCAAAAACCTCGCCCTCTACCGTCTCCGTTCTCATTCCAACGAAGCAGACTCTTTAAACTACCTCCAGCTCCGGAGCCGCCGTCTCATGAAGCTTCCATTACTCGCCAATACTAGGAAACAGCTCACACAGTGTGTCAATCAATGTCAAACGAGAAACCCTAGGGCTAAATCCGGTCCGGCGAAGAAATCAGAAGCGGAGACGACGACGATGGAAGAAGCTTGTGGTGATAATGAGAGAATATCTAGGTCTGATTGTAATTTTGGAGATAAAGGTTTTGATTTGGAATCAGAAAACAGGTAACTTTTAACTCTGTTTTTTCATTTTAAAGCTCCAAACTTTTTTTTATGATACAGAGATTGAGTTTTGATATGTTGGTTCTCTCATAGGAGCATGATAAGAGACTCAAAAGCTATACAAAGTGAGATTGAAGACTTCTTTGCTAACGCAGAGGAGCAACAACAGAGATTCTTCATTCAAAAGTACAAATCCCATTTTTTAGTTTGTTTGATTCTTTTGAGTTTTAGAGTTTGGTCTGATTTTGGGGGAGTTATGGTTTTGCTTTGCAGGTACAACTTTGACATTGTCTCGGACAATCCATTGCCTGGACGTTACGAATGGGTCTGATGCCATGAAGATGAGAAGTGAGTCGTTTTCGATGTAAAGTTGTGTGCTTTAGGAAACATCTGTGTTGGAACAGAGGAGATGGAAAATTGCACACAGACTAACTTGTGGGGTTTTTTAGGGTTGGTGTATAACTTGTTAGTCAAGAATAATGTAATGTTAATCTCTCTCATTTGCAACTAAATAATGTCTAATTTTACTGCCAAGTTACTTGAATTAGTATTGTAAATCTCTCCTTTGTTCTTTATCTGCTTGCTTCCATTGTGGTCTGAGTTTGTGGTTCTGCATTAGAGTTACTTTCCAAGTCATATACTTTGGCTTCAAGCAGCAAAAGTAGTGAACTTGTCTGAACAAAAACCTTAGTCACAGGTTTTATCTCTTTCTTCTTCATTGATACTCTACTCTCATTGGGCTTTTCACATGTGGGTACTTGTACCAATTCTTCTGTCATAACACAGGTTGCAGTAAAATGCTTCGATTAGATTTCATCTCTCTCTCTCTCTTCTTTTATTGGCACTGCACTCACTGTCTTGCTTTCTGGAATTATTTCTTCAAAAGTCCAAGTTAGCATCTTTCATGCTAAGATTAGGTTTCTTGGTTTATGTAAAATATTTCACCTCTTTGGATCATTTGCTCATCGGATGAATCAAAACATTAAATAATGATGTCGATTCTTGTTACTACAAAGCGTTTAAGACTACTGTTTCATGTCTGATACAAAATCACATGATCATTTACACCTCCGTAGAATCAAAACCTTCTTGGTTTTGTCACCCTTACAACACATGATTGAAAAATATTTACCGATCAAATGCTTCTTAAATTCTGATGGTTCAGCATTTTGGTTAGGTTACATGGTGAGCAACAGGGCCGGCCCAGACCTAAAGCCCAGCAAGCAGATGTTTTAGGCAGCAAATCTTATATGTATTTTAAAGGGCATCAAAATTATAAAAGTGTCTTGTAGTCTAGTGGTATTTAGGACGTCTAGAGGTAGTTGGGCGTGGGTTCGATCCTTGGCAACCGAAGATTTTAACATTTTTTTATTTTTAGTTATTGTAAATGGGCATCAAATTTTGTTGGGCTTTAGGCATCATGAATCTTTGGGCCGGCCCTGGTGAGCAAAACTGCAGAATCAAGTCATAAGATGCTTAGAGTGATTTCATTCTCATCGATAATAGATGACAAGCATTTATTAAGTAGTCAGTAATAATATTACAGTACCTGTCATGTTCTTTCTCAAACTTCGCCACAAAAGCTTCACGGAGTTGCCGGTCCTGTACTCAACCTTTGTTTTGTTTTTGACATTTCAACTTCATATACACCCTTGGTTTCAGAAGTTTTACTGTCTTCCATGGCCATCCTCCTTATTTTAGCCTGTTGGATTGCTAGCACCTCATACCTGCAAAATAATTTCCAGTTAACTCATGTTTCCGTGGTTAAACTTGCATTTCCCGTGTTCTAAAGTATCTATTTGTTCCTAGTTGAAAACCGAACCCACTAACTCTACGTGAAGGTGGATTCATACATTGATCAATACAGTAAGGGGATATTTAAGACTTCATGAGGAACCATCTCAAACGAAATTTTGGCATAAGAAAGTGCTTACTTTGCCACAAGCTTCCTCACAAGCTGGAAATATATCCTCCAAAACTGATGTTCCTTTAAAACTCGCGGGCATAACTTGAATCTCAGCTGTGAGAGTTCCTGCAACACCAAAACAAATCTTGTTTAGAGCAGCTTTTTGAAAATTCTCTAAGCTTCAACCCAATATTCCTAGTCAACCAAATTCAATTCTCCCAACAGTATAATTCAACTCTAAAACATGAGCATGTTTGCCATTTTCACTAACATGAGCCTAATCAGATTACGAGCAAGCAATGAACTATAAGATTGCAAGCAATGATCAAGTGATATCAGTGGGCACTACCAATTCCATCCATTTAGAAACTCCAGAGATACCAAAATTCAGACAAACCTCCTGACTTCACTTAAATCAAATACGATCTTGCTTAGGCCATAGAGTAACTTTTAAACGTCCCTATAAGATTCGATCCATTGTTCCTAATTGACCAAAGCCAAAACTACAAGCAAATCAAGAAGAAAACAGCTTTGTAATAGACTCTATAAGAATAATCAATCCACACACTCTGGTTTGAATCCAACTTAAATGGCACCATTGGTTGATCATTTGAAATCTCTACAGCTACCAATTCCATTCACCAAAAAAAGAATCAAAATTTAAGAAAAAACCTTAGATTTCGATAAGACAAGAACCGCGTGTTTCTCCTGCCAATCAGATAAATCCTTCTTCACATTCACAGACGAACTCATTCCATTATCGTCATCTCCCAAATGACTCACAGATACTTCTTCTTCTTCATCTGTTTCAGAACTAAAATCAACTTCACAATCACAAAACTAAAAAACCCTAAAAAAATTGAGAACCAAATTCGCAATTACCTTCAAGAGAAAAGTTCTTAAACGTATCAATGGTGAAAGATCTGACATGATCGATTAATTCATCAGTAACTCCCAAAATCTCATCTTTACCTTCTTCCTTAACACTCGATCCATTCTTCAAGATATTCCCATCGGAATATTCCTTCTTCTCTCTGAAAAAACTTCGTCGAATCCTCGAAGCTATATTCATTGCTGATCCTATGAAGAAGAAGAAGAATCTGAAAATCTCCAATACCTTAAAATAAAAACCAAAGTAGAAACAAATGGGCCTCGTCATGGGCCTGAGCCTTATCATACAAAAGGCCTAATAAAGGCCCAATAAATTAGGGTTTAGAGAACGCTTAACCCTAATGTCGCATCATATATAAAGCCGCCATTGAAGTAAAGCTGAGATCTTTTCGAAGAGCGGAAGCTAAAGGAGAAGGCGAAATCGAAGCGAGAAGATGGTGTCTGGGTCAGGGATATGTTCAAAGCGTGTTGTGGTTGACGCACGTCACCATATGTGTGGTCGTCTTGCTTCGATCACAGCTAAAGAATTGCTCAATGGACAGAGTGTTGTCGTTGTTCGATGTGAGGAGATTTGTTTGTCTGGTGGTTTGGTTCGTCAGAAGATGAAGTACATGAGGTTTCTTAGGAAACGTATGAACACTAAACCTTCTCATGGTCCTATTCATTTCCGTGCTCCGTCAAAGATCTTCTGGCGTACCGTTCGTGGGTTCGTAATCTAATCTCGTTATCTTTGTGTTCTTGTCTTATTATGTGAATCTTGAAAATGAAGATCCGAATTTGAGTTTAGGGTTTTTGGAAAGTTGTTTTCTTTTGTATAACTTGTTAGAGTTTGTATCAATGGATGGATTTGGGTTTAGGTCGGTTAGTTACGTAAGTATGAAGAAATGGTCAGCTTTTTATCTTTGTGCAATTATGTCTGTGTTAGAATTCATATGTTTGATAATGAAATGTGATCATATGTCATTGACAGGATGATTCCACACAAGACCAAGCGTGGTGCTGCTGCTCTTGCACGTTTGAAGGTTTTTGAGGGAGTACCACCACCTTATGACAAGGTCAAGAGAATGGTCATTCCTGATGCTCTCAAGTAAAGTTTCTGAATCTTTGTTGTCTCTTTGTAATTTAGATTATGTTCAAATGTGTTTTAGCTATTAACTGATTTTCGTTTTTTTGTTTGTTTAGGGTGTTGAGGCTTCAGGCTGGTCACAAGTACTGCTTGTTGGGACGTTTGTCTTCTGAAGTTGGCTGGAACCATTATGATACCATTAAGGTATGTCCCTTTTGTTCATTTCTTCTTCCTTGTTATGGAACAAAAAAAGTTGCTTCATTTACTAAATTTGTTTTCATAAAATCTTATGAGTTGATTTGGAATATACTTATTTGGAAATCAGAACTTATGTCGATCATATAATGAAATTGTCCGATTGTTTGGGGTCTTTTGCTTATTATTTAATGAAAAACTTAGGATCATATCATTGTGCAATCAGTTTAGTTACGAGACAATCATGTCACTGAATCTATGGAAGAAATTGGGAATTTACCTTTGGTTTAATGATTTTACAGGAGCTTGAGGTGAAAAGAAAGGAGAGGTCACAAGCTGTGTATGAGCGTAAGAAGCAACTCAACAAGCTCAGGGCAAAGGCCGAGAAGGTTGCAGAGGAGAAACTTGGAACCCAGCTCGATGTTCTTTCACCGATTAAGTACTGAAAATCATCATCTATCTTTTTGTTTAACTCTTGTTTTGGTTTTTATCTATTCAGATTTTGTCTTCGTCCTTGTATTACTGTTGAAGTCTATCACCTTATTTCAGTTTTATTTATCAGTTGATACTTCAATCCATAGGGATGAGTTCTAACTTCTAAGCGTCCCAAATATGTTAATCTTCTACACAAATTCTTCAATCTAAATTAAGTGAATCAACATAGATGCGAAGTTATTGATTTGACAAATCTAGGTAAGTATTGGTGTTTAAACTAGTAGCATGTCTTACTTTTTTTGTATATCATCTTCGTCATTGTCAATGCATATCTCTTTCAGATTACCGGGTAGGATTTCACTGTTTTCTTAGTATTTGCTCAAGAACATGGGCCAGTTCCTAGGATACAATGCAACATGGTTTTGGGAAAGGGTACTAGAGGGAGAACGGCCTATTCCCCCGTATTTAAATGAGCTAATTCTTTAGCAAATCTTAATTATCTCACAGCATAACAATGTGTCAATGTCATAGAGATTCGATTGTACAATGGTAATGCATTTGACGTTTGAAAGATTCAAAAGAGAAGACAGACTCAGAATAAATCCCATGATCCGATGATGTGGCCTCCAGATCCGGGAATACGAAACATGCCATCTTTCCTGCAAAACATGACTTGGGAAGAGAAGAAGCAAGGGTTTTCGATTCTGATGTTGGTCCACCCCTCAAGAGTTACATTTAGCAGGTCTGATAAAACTCAGTTGCGGTCCCACGTTGAGGACATGACCACGTTGGTGACAATCTGAGTTTGGCAATGAGGCAAAGTTACAAAAGGAGGCAACGAAAAGTGTTTCGGTTGTTCTCCTGTCTCCCATTTACGATCAATGAAATGCACAATTCCGTCGCCGTTGTAAGTAGCCCATAAGTGCTGTGCGGCGACCATTAAAAACATTCCTCTTAATTATCACGACTCCACAACCGTTGGTGGAAAAAGGAGGAAATCGCAGTAAGGAAGATGAAAAAACCATTAGAGAGAAAAAGAGAGGATCTCATCGAGGCAGGTTTGTCTAGGCACAACATCGAAGGCTATCCACACTTGTTCCTTGCCACAGAAACCACAAACATAAATTGCTTTCTGCATAAATTGTAATCTCTTATTACATTACAGAGATCATCACCATGGCTTTTGTGCTCCAGCGGCTCTATCACCATGACGAATTCCATATTTTGATGATATTGATCAGAGTGCACAATGGTAAGCTGGAAACTCGTTTCCCTTGTGTTGTTCAAACAATAAGTTTAGTTCGCAGTCAATACAACAATGTGTGCTAATAGCCACTGCATATAGGTAACCACACAAATAAAGCTGCTAATTGGATAAACCTGAAGAAAAAAAGGCAAATTCACTTCTTCTCAGTTCTCAATCGAAAAAAAAGGAAACACCGACACAGGGACTAAATCGTAATTATAAGGTTAGCTTAATCCATATGAACGAAAAGGAAATCAAACAACGTAACGGCTATAATTAGTTACTAATCACAGTAATTAAACTACTAAACTCAAAGAAAAAAAGGAAACCCGAAATTTAAGTGTAAGCACTTAGCAGAGAGCGTAAGTATTATTTAAGGCAATAGAGACTCTCTCATTCTCACTTTCTCTCAGTTTTCCTCTCTCTCTAATTTCCTTGTGCCTCACGTTTTTGCTCTCAGAAAAACTTGAGTTTTCGGTTCTATCAAAAATTCACAATGAGTAGTCTGTATCACGATGAGGTTCATCTCACGGCTTCAGGGAAAGAGCTGTGGTCGAATTTCTACGCACTGGTTGATGCGGCGGTTATGTTATATGAAGAAGAACAACGTCGTAAGACTGTCTCTGAAGAAGAAGCAGAAAGCCAGAAGAGAATCTTTTGTCTCTTCCCGAGAAAAATAAGATCGTCTTTGGTGAAGAGACAACAAAACCTTAATGGGTTTTTTACTTCAACTTCTACATCGCTTATCGATCTTAACCAGTTCCCTACTGATTCTGAGACAGAACAAAACCATCTTCAGTTGCTATCTTCTTCATGTTTCATCCCCGCTGATTCCGAGACGAAAACACTACAAAACCCTAGTTCTGAATCTTGTTCTTCACTCGTACTCTTTGATTACAAGATGGCTGAGTCCGAGAAGACAGAGACGAAAGACCCACTAAACCCTAATTTTCCATGTTCTCTGTCTTTGGGCCTATCGGAGAACACAAGCCGCAAGAGACGTGCCGTAAAAGAGAGGAAGCGTACTGGTGGATTCAAGAAAGCAAAGGTTGCTCCTTTTCCACGGACAGCGAGAGAGACGCCTGAGTGGCTTGTCAAGGTGATGAGTGACATGAAAGAAGCTAAAGACGCTAAACTGATCTTTGAGAAGACTCTGTTCGTGACTGATGTAAACCCAACACAGAACCGTCTCTCAATGCCTTTCAACAACTTACTCCGCAACGATTTCTTGACGTCTGTGGAGTCCAGAATCATAGACAAAGACATCAACAACGATAAGAAGATTGGAGTGGGAGCGATTCTCGTGGATCAACGGTCTGAGAAGTGGGGTGTGATGTTGAAGAGATGGGAGATGAAGAAGGAATCAGGTAAAGGAAGCTGGAATTACAATTTGATTTGTGGGTGGAACGATATCGTTGAGGCTAACGGATTGAAAGATGGCGACAACATTAGTCTTTGGTCGTTTAGGTGTTGTGGAATCCTCTGCTTTGCCATGGAACAGAGTAGCTCTTCCCTTGCTCTCTGTCTCTGCTAAGTTTCTTGTGTCTATTGAGACTATAACTTGGTTGATCAACTCGCATAGTGATCTAATTTCAGGCGATTCTGGAGATTTTTTGTCTAGAGTTTGATTAAGAAAATTAGGGTTTAAATTAGGGTTTCTCTATATTATTAATTAGTAACTTGTTTCTTCTCTTGTTTCAGATCATTATAATCGTATCTACTTAGGATCTGGTTTGTTGTTTGGTCTAACTTTAGTTACTGCATTGTGACCTTTAGATTGCTTGTAATATATCTCAAAGTCTAATTTTGTGTGATGAAATTGATCCAATGGTGAAAAGGTTTTGGTACTCAATGAGATTCTGATATGTTCAAACTCAGTATAAATAGCAGAATGAACAAAATTCGTTGCCTAGACAGGCTTTGGCCAAACCGTTTTGCTACAATTACTTCTTCAGCCACTTTGACTTTGTCTAGAGAGATTTCTCTTACACCCATCTGTAAGATCTAGTTTTCTTGTCTAGAGAGATTGCATGTGCTCTCATGGATCTTGGAGAGTTATCTGCAAAAAGTTTGTCATTCTGTGACTTCTTTCTCAGATGTGACATTGATGAGAAATGCTTCAAGATATCAAAGTTTAAATGTACTTATATGTATCTTCTACCTGAGTAAGAGTCATTCAAAAATAATCAAGTTTATTTTCAAATCAGCAACACATGTTTCTGTTTTCTTAACTAAAGAGAAACATTAATTGACAAGTCTTGTTCAAAACAATGATTAGTGAATACCAAAGAGTTGATGCAAGAAACAAAACAAGGCACTGTAAGAACTAATTACTGTAAGAAATTGAACAAAACAAGGCCATACTTGTCACAATATCTACCACTGCTACTTTCGTCTCCTTATCAATGAAGAAACTGGAAACTTCAAGTTTAGATCGAAAGTAAGAACCACTGCATATAGGTTAACAGTTACCACACAAATATTTGCATGTGGGTTGAAATGAAGGATATTGCTTATTAGAATGTCCCACATTGCTTGGGATTAAGATCTTTGGGTAGTATATAAAGGATGTGGCAATCCTTAACTCTTGAGCTAGCTTTTGGGTTAAGTTAGGCCACATTCCTAATATTGCTGCTAATTGGATACAGTATATGGTTAAAACATAATTAATTAATGGAAGAGAGATGATAGCAAATACTATATGTCTATATCCCGCATCAATGTCATAGAGATTCTATTCTATGAGGATGAGCTGAGAAATTTTATTCTACATCTGCAGACTTCTAATCGTGACAACAATGATTCATAAACTCATTGGAAGAGAGATAATAGAAAAGATGATCCCACAACATATGCATAACAATGTCATATAGATTCTATTCTATGTTGATGAACTGTGAGATTTCATTCTCGTCTGCAAACTTCTAATCCGCCACTAGCCAGATCGATAGAAAAGAACCAGTCGTCATCCAAGACTCGGACGTAGTTAGGCCTATGCTTGAGACAGGGAATAGCTTCAGCTGCAGGTTCACAAGAAATACCATGTCGTGAGAGGAAAATGAAGAGATCTCCAATGTCTTGAGTGTAAATAGCGTTTCCTTTATGGTCTAGCCTGAACACCATTACACCTTTTGTTCTCATGATCTTTCCCAAAGTCTTCTTGAACCACTTAACCAAAAAAGTTTCATCGGTTGATTGTGACTCCACCAAGAATACGCTTGTGCAGCAAGATTCCAGAAGCTCGCGTTGGGTCTTGGTCCGCTCGGGAAGGTTTCGGAGCCGCAACCTCTGAATCTTGGGTGGTGTTTGCTTGTGTGTGTGGAGATCCCATGATCCGATGAGATGGCCTCCAGATCCGGGAATACGAAACATGCCATCTTTCTTGGAAAACATGACTTCGGAGGAGTAGAAGCAAGGGTTTTCGATTCTTACATTGGTCCACCCAGAAGAGTTGCCTAGAGCAGGTCTGAAAAAGCTGAGTTGAGGTCCCAAAAACTTGACAGCCACAACACAGTCCTCGTCGTCAAGAGGAGAAGATGCGACCACGTTGGTGATAATTTGAGTTTGGCAACGAGGTAAAGTTACAAAAGGAGGCGACGAAAATTGTTTCGGATATTCTGACTCCAATGTACTTGTACTATCATAGAAACCCAAGACTCCGTCGTGATTGAAAGTAGCTAACACGCCGGGGTAAGCTGGCCAAATTATTTCATATTCATCTTCATCCACAGGTACCTTCTTTGCCAAACAAGTGTGGCGACCTTTAGTAACATTCCTCCTAATCACGATTCCACAACCGTTGATGGAAAAAGGAGGAAATTGCAGTGAGGAAGATGAGAAACCATTAGAGAGAAAATGAGAGGATCTTATCAACGCAGGTTTGCCTAGGCACAACTTGGAAGGCTTGTTGAGAAGCAGAGACATAATGAATGATAGATTTTAGGGGAAAGCAAGAGATTTGGGAGAAAAGAAAACCCTAATTGAAGAATCGTTGTAATTATCACCCTTTAGACGATACATTATTAATACAGAGGAAATGGACTTGCTCACCAAGTTTCCCGTCTCCAAATTAGGTTAAGGTCAAATACGTTAATAGCAGAGGAATGAACTCGTAAAGGCTTCTTTCATTTATGCATAAACAAGAGAATAAATGGTAAGAGAGATTCAAAACAAAGACGATTCGGAAACAAAGTGTGTGACAAAAGTAACATAAGTGGACTAAACTAAATCGTTGCACAAAACAAACAAACTTGTATATGAGGACAAAGTTATCATAAACACATCTCACGTGTGCATATGACAATCGAATTTACCACAAAAAGTCAAACTTTGTATACTTCAATCCCATTTTACACTTAATGAACAACTGTTTCTGAATTCTGATCCCACCAATTATAGGACCAAGCACAAGAAAGAGATGATTTAAAAAAAAAAGAAAAAAGAAAGAGATGATTTGGGAATGAACAACTGTTTCTTTGTCGCTTGTCGGAATCGCCTTCTCCACATTTGGAGAATCGGGTTGACTTCGGGTCAAAGGCATATGGGTTATGGTTTGGGCTTATGCAGTTGAGAACATGAAGCAGTTAATGGGCTGGCGTTATATACAATAAGGCCCATTGGAGTGAGAAGAGTTTAAAAGGAGAGCTCTTCTCTCTTCTACGTACCAGATCAGAATTAACCATTGGTGAAAACTAGTTGTCATCCCGAAATTAGCCTGATCATTTTTGTTGTGTAGATTGTGTTTTCTTCTATGTTTTTTTTTTTTTTTTTGCAATAGGACCATTTACGTAGATTTATAATCATCGATCGTAAACTTAAACCGTTTTCATTTTTAGTAAAGTATTTACATTTTTAGCAACAAAAAAAAAATCGAGTCACTCTCCCAACCGTTCCATACCCAATAAGATCTGAGATTTCCGACGACCAACCATCCGGTCCATACTTAACCTTTCAAGAATCAAGATGCATATTTAATAATTTATTTAAGAGTAGTTTCATCTAATGAAGAAGTGAGAAATTAAAAAGTTAACTATTGAAACTTTATAAAAATTTATAAATGTAATTTGGAAAAGTTTGAACGATTTTTCCCTTCATTTAACTATTAAACATGATTTTTTAAGTGAGCGAAACATTTACACAAAAACAAATCTTTAAAAGTCTTTCATATGCAAAGCAAGGCCATGAATTGATCAACTCACGTGGTCTACCTGTCCCTCTCCTTTTGGACCTAAAGTTAGCTACGTGGCACTTCCTTATTTCCGTATAGAATCAGCGTCGGCACTCACCACGTGTCACATTCTAATTGGAGGAAACGTGGAAAAACTATTCTGTCGGTGGACCCACATCAGATTTTTTAATTACAAAATAAACTAAAAAACACATAACCAAACCAAACCAACACTGTTAAAAATTGATAATTATGGTTAGCTTAGCTCTTACGCGTACCGTAAGTCCGTAACCACCGCTACAACAACCAAACGGACGTTTAATCTCGCCGTTAAATATAAGTTAACTAACAACACCTTTATCTTTGACTAGCCGTAACGTTAATTACTCTCCAAATATCAAAGCATTGACTAATAAAACAAATGTTTGACTGATTAAATCTCCGGTTTAATCCGGTTTGATTATCGGTTAAGTTCCGGTTTTCATTTCTTCTCCATCTTTAAGCAAGCTATAAAAATGGCGAATATAACCATCGCAAAGCTTTCTCTCTCTTCTTCTTCTTCTTCTTCTTCTTCTTCCTCCTCTCTGCATTTAATTTTGGTTTGAATACGACGCTTCGTCTTCTTCTTTCTCAAAGCTACGCTCCGAGGAAAACTTTATACGTATATGTATATAAAAGATTTGACTTTGTAATCTGAAAGCGACGTTTTTTGTTGAGAGAGATAGTTTTTTTTCCTTCTTTACCTAAATCTGGAAAATTTAAAGAAAGAGTTCTGATTTTTGATACTCCGCGATTTCGTGAGATTGCTTGCTTATTAGGTAAGAAAAGAATTCGAAGACGAATAATGTAGAATTTTGAGAAATCATTTCTGGGTTTTGTGTCTTTTTTCTGGATCTTTGTAGTGGGGATTAAAAAAAAGGATCAGTTTTTATTTGATGATTCTCGTTTCTTGATCTTGGGTTTGATTCAAAATTACGATTTGATTTGATGATTCGATTTCATATAAATCTGAGTTAAATCTTACATTTATGATTCTTTCTGCAGATACAGAGGTTTTACATTATTATCATCTGTTTCTTGATTAAAAACAAATGCCAGGTAAAATTTCAGATACAGATTTTGCAAAATCTGATTGCTTTTATGTGATTTTTGAAGTTATCTGATTATGTTTGATTTTGTTGTTTTAGCATTAGGTGAGATACTTTTGGTTCCAGAAACTGAGAAAGGAAAGAGTAAAGACATTGAGGTTTCAGATGATGAAAAGATTACAAGAACTCGTTCTAGATCTTTAAAGAAGAAAGCTATTAAAGCTTCGAGTAAATTGACACATAGTTTAAGGAAAAGAGGGAAGCGTGTAGCTGATAAATATGCACCAATTGTGATTGAGGATGTGAGGGATGAAGAAGAGGAGAAAGCAGTGAATGTATTTAGAAAAGCTTTGGTTTCTTTAGATTTGCTTCCACCTCGGCACGATGATTATCATACCATGTTGAGGTAATGTGATACTACTGCAGGATCATGTCAGTGAGTATTTTAGATTGTGTCATGATCAGTTTCAGGTTTGTTGTTGCAGATTCTTGAAGGCGAGGAGATTTGATCTTGACAAAACTGTTCAGATGTGGGAAGAAATGTTAAAGTGGAGGAAAGAGAATGGAGTTGATACTATAATGCAGGTGACGGATAAGAACCTTCCTTGAGTTGGTAAAGATATTGTTGTTTATGAGTGTGCTACAAAAACCTTTAAAGTTTAGAATTTTTCTAAGAATCTTTTCACATGGTGTTTTTGCTGTTTTCCTAACTTGCAATGATGACTTATTTTCTTCAGGATTTTGTTTATGATGAATTTGAAGAAGTACAACAATACTATCCACATGGTTATCATGGTGTAGATAGAGAGGGACGACCTGTTTACATTGAACGGCTTGGTAAAATTGACCCCGGCAAGCTAATGAAGGTTACCACATTGGAGCGTTTCTTGAGATATCATGTACAGGGTTTTGAAAAGACTTTTTCGGAGAAGTTTCCAGCCTGTTCGATCGCAGCAAAGAGGCACATAAATTCTTCGACAACCATAATAGATGTGCATGGAGTGGTTGGTACCTTTTTATTCCTTTCTCAACATTCTGTTTCAGTGCTACATCCTGAGTTTTCGAATGCTTCTTTTGATGCAGAGTTGGATGAGCTTTAGAAAATTAGCTCAGGACCTTGTAATGCGAATGCAAAAAATTGATGGTGACAACTATCCTGAGGTGGGTGTATGAAAGTTATTTGAATGTCAACATATACACTTTTCACCATTGAAGAACACTAACATTGGTTTTGGTTCACTGAAGACAGACATTGAATCAGATGTACATTATTAATGCTGGAAACGGATTCAAGCTTGTTTGGAACACCGTGAAAGGCTTTCTCGACCCGAAAACTACTTCTAAGATACATGTATTACATCTCCCACATAGATAAGCCTTATACAGGACCCTTCAGATGTTTCAACTTGACCAACAATTTACATTGGTTATTGCACAGGTTTTGGGAAACAAATATCGCAGTCACCTTCTTGAGATTATAGATCCAAGGTCAGTTTCTACTTTATCTGTGATTATTCAAAAATAATCGAGCTTATAAAGTTAGCCTCTGTTATTTTCTTTACACAGTGAGCTTCCAGAGTTTATGGGAGGAAATTGTACCTGTGCAAATGAAGGTGGGTGTATGCGATTCAACAAGGGGCCTTGGAATGACCCGGAGATAATGAAAGTATGATCCTTTTCAGCTCAAATTTTTGTGTAGACACTGGTATCTCTTAAAAAGCATTATATGATAAAGTCTCTGTTTTGCATCATACTTGTAGCTAGTGCGCTCGAGAGATGCAATGTACAAAACAAAAGCAATAGGGCTCCTGGAGAATGGGGAAGTAGCTAAATTATTTGCGTTACCGGTTAGTATAAATTCTGGTCAACTTGTAACAGCGATTGGCTTCTGTTACGTCCTGTATTAATATCACTTGCCCATTTCTTTTAGCAGCATGTGAACACAGAGATGTTATCACCTGATGGAGGCCAAGTTAGGGAGAGAGAGTCACATTCTGAACAGGTTAGTTTACGTATAGAAATAGTCTGGTGCTCTTTTGTTTGTTCATGGTCTAATATTGTCAATGAATGATTACCGCATATTCTTATGTTTCCAGGACAAACGCGCTCAGCTGAGCAATCAAGCTGAAGCAGTTGGTGTTGGGAGAATGGAACAGTCTGATTCAACAAGTAGGTTAACGCCACTCTGTGTGCTCATGTCATGATCCATTTTATACAAGAATCTAATAATCTCTAGAATACTTTTCTGCAGATCCATTACCGAATAATCTGACAGTAGAAAGGAGTTTAAAGACCTCTCTTCAGAAAGTTGCAAGTTTGTTGGCTCGGTTTATTGTCCAACTTCTTGGCAATCTATTTCTCATGTTCCGGATCTTGGGAAGACTTGTAAATAAGCAACCAGAGAACCAATTGAGACCGGAGTTAAGGGTTTCGGTCTCCCAGCAACAAGTTCCTCCTCCTCAGGTGCAAAGAGAGTCTGTCCATCCATGTTGGCTGAGGTTGCAAAATCTAGAAACCATGGTCACAGTTTTATGTGATAAACCCTCAAGCATTCCTCAAGATAAAGAAGATATACTTCGTGATTCATTAGATCGCATCAAATCCATTGAGCAAGATTTACAGAAGACAAAGACGGTAACTATCGACCCATTCTCTGATCTGTTTCAAGATCTATTTATCTCTCCATGCATTAGACTTAAGTTTAGGATTTAATGTTTGTGACAGGCGCTTTTTTTGACCGCGTCAAAACAAATAGAACTCGCTGAGTGTTTGGAAAACTTAAAGGAAAGCAGCTCAACGGTAAGTCTTCTCTTATGTGAACACTTGGGATCAATCTCTGTGTGCTTCAATATGAAACATTCTTCTTCTTTGCTTAACACAGGGAATGCGTTCATGCTGGCCAAGACACTGCAGAAACTTCCAAGCAGAAACCTAATTTGCAGAATAAATGTATCTTCGGATCTCATATTCGAAGTCTGCATAGCTACTAATTCACCCTCCAACCATATAGCAGGTGAGAAACATCACATCACACTCATCTCGTCTCGTATTCCAACTAAATTTTTTGTTCGTCTTCCTCACTTGGACCACTTATCCTTGAATGGTTTTTGGTTTTTTTCAGATGGTATATATTAAAGGCAACATGGTAACAGGAAGTGAAATTGAAGAGGGAGAGCTTACAATTGTTAAGTAGCAAGCAAGCTTTGTTTATTTACCAGGCTCTTTAGGTTAGAAAACAGAGGAATTAGTGAACTATTTGGGATTTTACTTTTTTTTGTTCATAACGATTTTATTGCACATCATTGTTGTATAGTATAATCCAATAGTGGTGATTTTACAGTATTGTGTATTTCTTACTTACAATCACAATTTACAAATATAATTACATTTGATGGTCATGTAAAGAGAGAAAGAACAGAGATGAAAATTTGGTAGGAACCCAAACCGCTAGCGTAAGCCCCAAGTAACAAACCCCTAAATCGCTTAAGCCGTTATGTATATATGTGACTACAAGCCAGAAAAATAAACCAACTCAAAGCCCTAATCTAAGCAAAGCGGCCGTCTCGGAGCAGCCGTTGCTTGCCGTATTGATCTGCGTGAGAAGGAGAGAGATCAACTGAGATCCGAGCCGAGCCACTCACCGTCTGCTTCCACCGTGCCGTCAAATGACGTCATGTATTAAAATATATGACAAAAAATCATTAAAATGACGTCATGTATTAAAATACCGAACCAACACACAAAAAAGCAGAACATTATCCAAATTATGAACAGAACAGAGGCAGAGCCAGAAGAAGAATTCAGTGAATGGGTAGTGATTATTAAGAAGAATGGTTAGCTTCTCCTTCTTCTTCTTGTTGGTATGAATTAGTCAATTTCTCTTGAATAAATCCTACAAGTAAAAAAAAAAAGAGTCCCTACAATGTTTTGAATAAGGAAAGGAGTTTTGCATCAGTTTCTCTCTTTTGTTCCTCCTCTGATACTTTTTATATCACTGACTAGTCCTCCTCGGCGTTCGGTTATCGGTTCGGTTCCATTCGGTTTCGGTTTTTTCAATTCTAAAATTTAGTATCCATTCGGATATTTTGAAATTTCGGTTCGGTTTTTGTTAGGTTCCGGTTCTTTCGGTTTTAAAATTTAGTATCCATTCGGTTATTTTGCTTTGGATATTTTTAGATATTTCGGTTATTTTTGGATTTTTTATTTTTTGATTATTTCAAGTATTTTTACTATTTTTATATATTTTAAGTATTTTTTTATTATTTGGTCTATAAATAATTAATATTTTTTTAAAATATTTTTTTAAAATATAATTGTATTTCAGATATTTTCGGTTATTCGAAATATTTCGGTTCGGTACCAATTCTGTTACGGTTTTTTCGGTTATAAAATTTAATATCTATTTGGTTATTTTCAAATTTTCAGTTCAGTTTAATTCGTTTTTTTTGCTTCGGTTTCAATTCGGTAGATTCGGTTTGGTTTATTGCCCATGTCTTACGACTGAGTAAAAAAGAGAAGTGGTTTGGTCTACTAAATTTTGTTGGGCCCAGAAACCAAAAAAATCAACGAGAAGACAAAAAGCCCAAAGATCCGATTTGGAGTCATCAAAAGCCGAAGCGCCAATTAACATTATTCCACTAAACCATGACGACGCCTTCGCCGACCTCCTCTCCTCCCTCTGATTCAAACCCTAATTCCGCCGCTACTCCGCCGCATCACAAACAACAACCACCCTCTCCTCCTCCACTCACGAATCCATCCTCTCCACCACCACAAATCACCGTCGTTGCCTTAGCCGCATCAACCTCCGCCGTCGCCAGGAAAACCCAACCAGTTCTCTGGACTCACGACGAGACTCTCCTCCTAATCGAATCCTACAAAGAGAAATGGTACGCAATTGGTCGTGGTCCTCTCAAATCAACTCACTGGGAAGAAATCGCCGTCGCTGTCTCATCTCGTTCCGGCGTTGAACGGTCATCTACACAGTGTAGGCATAAGATCGAGAAGATGCGTAAACGATTCCGATCTGAGAGACAGAATATGGGACCTATCTCAATTTGGCCTTTCTATAATCAAATGGAGGAATTGGATTCAAATCCTGCTCCGATCTCAGCTCGTCCTCTCACTCGTCTTCCTCCTAATTCGAATAATCACTACAAAGACGACGATGACGAAGACGATGATAACTACGAAGAAGAAGAGGACGAAGATGAGAGGCAGAGCAAATCGAGAAGTATTAATTACATATTGAGAAGACCTGGTACTGTTAACAGATTTGCTGGAGTTGGTGGAGGATTATTGTCATGGGGACAAAAAGAGAGATCATCGAAGAGGAAGAGGAACGACGGAGATGGCGGTGAGAGGCGGAGGAAAGGAGCGAGAGCTGTTGCGGCGGAGATTAGGGCGTTTGCTGAGAGAGTAATGGTGATGGAGAAGAAGAAGATTGAGTTTGTTAAAGAGACAGTGAGGCTTCGTAAGGAAATGGAGATTAGAAGAATCAATTTGATTCAGAGTTCACAAACTCAGCTTCTTGAATTTATCAACAATGCTTTTGATTCTTTCTAACGCAGAGATTAGTGTCATTGTTGGTTTTAGATTTGTAACATAGGTAATGAATTGAAGAATGCACTATGTAAGCTAATGTTTAAGTGAACTTTTTTTGAACCATAAGAGATTAAAGAGACAGAACAATGGATACATTCATCAAATTAACCTAAAACCTACAAGAGAATAAGTTAGAGGAAAAGGTAAAAAAAAAAGGCCTAAATATATGCCACAAAGATGGAGGAGTAGAGACTTCTATACAAAACATTATAAACTGTTTCTACTCTCTCCCAAACCAAAAGATGGGAAGAAGAAGAAGGAGGAAGAGACTACTTCTCTATGATGCAAGTGGGTAATTTACATTATCATATACCTTCTCTCTCTGTGGTCATCAAAAGAGGCAAAAAGACCTGCATGAATTGTATCCTATCCAACATCTTCTTCCCTATTTTATCTCCCTCTGGCCTTATCAAATCTGCAAACTCCACAATCTGTAGAGTTTGTTATGTTATACAGCATCTCAGCCAATTCAAAGATCACCAACTTGATGATGTTAATGCCAAAAAGTGAGGACCCGACTCTGCTGGCGGAGGAGATAAACCAGTTTGGGTTCCTGTACAGGGTTGTTGTTGGTAAGGGCCAGCATTAAGCTTTGCAGGATCTACAACTACTCAAGGTTCTAGGTTCATCTGTCATGCCTCTCATTCCACTTTTGTATCAGGAGGCTTGGAAGATGATACTTCCAGTGCTTCTTCTAATTGAGGCTGCTGTTGCTGCTCAGAAGCAAGGTGTTTCTGATTTAGTACAGTCAGCTTCTCTGGCAACTTTGGTCTCTTTTCTTCTGAAGGTAGAGACTGTTGTTGTCTCTGTGTCACGCCCTTGATCCCGTGACTAGGCAAGCCACCAGATAGATGCTCCTGAGCTAGTCCTTGGTTCGGTGTTGTTACTGGATCATTCCCAGCTGAATCTGTATTGGAACTGTTTACTACTTTAGAAGCAGTGCTTTGCACAGAGGCAACACAAGATGGAGGTTCCAAAGCAGGCACCGCAGTAGAATCAACTGCTTTTATGTTTTTCAAATCATTACTCGCTTGATGCATACCCTTGGTCGTACCCATACTAGCAGTTTGGGTTGTATTGGTGACAGACAGCGGAACACGTGGCATACGTTCAGCTTGGGACTTCTTTGATAACTCAGAGTTTCCTAGGTGATTATGATGAACAACTCGCTGAGCTGCTGATTGCACTTGATTGCGCTGCTTTTGGTGTATCAACAAATGCTGATGGTTAGAAGGGGGAACTGCTGGTGTAATTGACGGGCTAGAGGTGGATAAGATGTTACATGGGGCCGCAGGTGAGGTCTGGCCTTGGATGTTATTGTCTGAATGTAATTGCATCTGTTGTTGGGACGGAGACGAAGCACCAGGGAATGATTTTGGCAGTTGCTGTGAATGATTTGAAGATAAGGGAGGAACAAATGGTTTAGACTGCATATGTGTGCTCGTGGTAGTCCCTGCACTAGACTGCTGATCAGGCCTAACTGGAACCGCTGACTCTCCTTTTTCGGTAGCCTGATTTCCTGGGGCCATGTTAAGACCATTCAGGTGTGACTGATCGACAGTGATGTTCTGATAGATCATGTTGCCTCTACCCATCCCCTTTTTATTCTGCTGTTGACCTTGTGTTGGCTGCCGCTGGTGTGGATGTTGTCTTGCAGACTGCTGCAACTGCTGCTGAAGTTGTCGCTGCCGTTGTTTTCCAGCTTGATTGTTCACTCCAGAAGTACCAGACTGAGGACTCCTACCCAGACCATGAAGCGGCAACTGAGATTTTTTAGGGTTCTGTTGTGCCAAAGCATTAATATTAGGAGAGGGCGACACTGGGGGCATCGATAATGGCTGGGGTGAAACAGGTGGTTGAGTCTGAGGACTGTTTTGTGGAGAAGAAGAAACAGAAGAGCCCTGAGGTTGTTGTACATGTGGCATCATAGTACCAGATGCTGGAAACTGCTGCTGCTGTTGCTGCAAATACCTCTGGTGTATTTGTCTTTGACGGATAGCAAATGCTTCCTGCTGTGCCCCAGTGGCTTGACTTGGGCTCTGGAGATGAGGATGATGCGAGTTGCCAAGCACATGTGACTGCGGTGACATCTGATGTTGCTGGGAAAGTTGGCCTGGGTACGCCTGAACAGGAGTTGTCTGGTTGGTAAATCCAGAACTCAAATTACTGAAAGCTGGGATCCCCGGACTGTTCCCTTGAGCAGCTTGCATCTGAAATTCATGCATATCAGTTTTTATCATCACTGTATAGTCTTAATGTTGTCAAACAGGTTCAAAATGACAATCGACCAGCGGTTGACAAAAAATAGAAGCGCTGAACGTCTACAAACTAAAACAAGGAGCCAGATATAGTCCAGGTGGTGAAGTAAGAAATAGGTAATTACAAGTTCCCGCATGTGAGAAATCTTATAACTAAGTGTAATAATTAGCGTAGCAGTAAACAAAATCCAAATAGCTTACCCGCATCATATGCTGCACAGCTTCGCGAGGCCTGTGCATGGAGCTTCCTTGAGAAGCTCCTCCTCCGGAATGAACATTTCCAGTGTTTGGAATTCCTACCATACCAGAAGAAAGCATACTACCAGTATTTGGCATTGCTGATGAGGCCATCCCTTGGAAACCAGGCCTTGACATGGGTGTGTTCCTGTTCATTCCAGTTACACCCATAGCATTTCCACCCGGAACCATTCGATGTCCACGATCAGATCCTGAGACAGCTCCAGGAGTTGATAAGGAGGGCTGCTGTAGGTTTCTACCGGATAACATCTGATTAAATTGTTGT